TCCCTCAGATTCCAGTTTGGCTTCAGGCAGTATTATATTTATTGTATCAGTGTGTTTTATCATACTTAATACTTATCTGGGAGAATTTGCTTTTGGAGATGTTTGGCACCTCGGCAAGTGTCCTGAACAGACGAAAAGCAGAGTTCAGTTGCTCTAATACGCTTCTGCATGAATCAAAGTTCAACTTTACTTTCTAAACGCTCAAGTTAAATAATCTTTAATAAATATTGCAATATTCCATATATATATATATGAAGAATTTGATTTAATTCTGTCTGTAATCATAGTAAAGTCTGTGCATCCGAAAGTGATCTACTTCTTTTAAAATGTATTTTTTGAACGATGTGTTTCTTGTTTCCCGGTGCGTGTGTTTGTCGAGTGTAATGTGATTACGTGTGTGTCTGTTGTTTCTCATGGCTGTGTTTGGCTCTCAGCGCTGACAGTCTGATACCACACATGACCTACAGATACAGATCTACACACAGACATGGACACACACTTTTATACCCTCTTGCAATATGCTGTTTTACTCTAAAGTTACCATGAAACCAGAACCGGCAAATCTTATTTTTATGGAAAATTGCAGTATTTATGAAAGAAATCTAAATGAAAGACGATCAATATCAACATGAAATCTAAATGAGATATCAACATGAAATCTAAATGAGATATCAACATGAAATCTAAATACCCCACACTTGTATCGAAGTGTGGGGTAATGCTTGCACCAGTTATACAGAAAGGCTTTTCTTACTTCAGAAGAAAGCGATAAGAATTGTGACTTATAAAGGTTTACGAGACCACACAAACAAACTGTTTATAAAATTGCAGACCTTGAAATTAAAAGAGTTGGTCAAATTTAAAATACTACAAATTATGTGGAAAGTGAAAAATAACTTGGTGCCAATACATATTCAAAACAAATTCATGCTAATTACAGACAGTAACAACAGAAGAAAAGGTAATTTTTGTGTACCATATTCACGCACCTCACAAAAACAAAAAGGGTTTCTTGCAATTGGGATCAATTTATGGAACTCTTTGGACATTGTGCAAAAAACATGTAACACGATTGTTGAATTCAAAAAAATGTATAAAAAAAATGCTCTGAGAAAATACGAAGGCAGTGAAGCATAAGAACCAAGGTTTGACAAATTTGAAATTGTTAATTATTTAGATGTGAAGTAATATTGTAGCCTACCTCGATAAAAAAAAAAAAAAAAAAAAAAAAAAAAAACGGCGAGCCATCTGTTTTGTGTCAACTAAGATTATTGAAAAAAGGGGCATGAAATTATAAGACTAGGTCTTCCTCATGCTCCTATTCAGCATTGAATGTTATTATTTTGTTGTTGATGTGATTAATATTGTGTCTGTAATAACATCATGACTGAATAAAGAACTTGAATTGAATTGAAAAAAATCTAAATGAGCTTATTTACTTTCTTAATTCGTGTTCCTGGTTTAGTTGTGAATTATCAGCACTGATGTTCTTCTAAAGAAAAACATGTTTGCCTTCATAATCTACAAAAATGTATAACTTTCTCCACCTCTTTCCTTTTCAGCTCATGTCAATCACCTTTATACACTACTGTTTAAAAGCGTACGGTCAGAAAGTTTTGTTTTTGGAAGAAATTAGTTCTTTTATTCAGCAAGGACGCATTAAATTGATCAAAAGTCACATTAACGACATTTATAATGTTACAAATAATTCTATTTCAAATAAATGCTTGTCTTTTGAACTTTGTTCATCAAAGAATCCTGAAAAATTAAATCTATCACAGTTTCCACAAAAATATGAAGCAACACAATTTGATAATAATCATAAATGTTTCTTGAGCATCAAATCATCATATTAGAGTGATTTCTGAAGGATCATGTGACACTGAAGACTGGAGTAATGATGCTGAACATTCAGCTTTGATCACAGGAATAAATTACACTTTACTATATATTCACATAGAAAACAGTTTTTTTAATTTGTAATAAAATTCCACATTTTTTACTGTACTTTTGATAAAATAAATGCAGCAGAAGAGAGGGGTTGGTAGTTTTATCTAAGGCCAGAATAATTAATTATGACAAAAAATTCAGAGTAATGAGAATAAAAGTCAAAATTATGACAAGTCGAAATTGACATAGGTCTACTTGACGTATAATTTCAATTTTAAAAGTCATAACTGTGACTTAAGTCATAATTTCAATTTAGTATGTCAAACTTTTTACTTTTAAGTCATAATTTTGATTTAAGTCTGAAGGATCATGTGACACTGAAGACTGGAGTTATGATGCTGAAAATTCAGCTTTGATCACAAGGAATAAATTACACTTTACTATATATTCACATAGAAAACAGATATTTTAAATTGTAAAAATATTTAATAATATTACAGTTTTTACTGTATTTTTTGTCTTAAAAATAAATCTTACCGTCCCTAAACTTTTGAACAGTAGTGTATAGGGACACTTTTACCATCCCATCCCTGTATGAAATCAAGTCCTCTACATTTCTCACATGTAATCTTCTCTGTCTCTTGGAAATATTTCACATTATGGAAGTAAAATGGTTGTGAGTGCATCTACACAATACATGAAACTCATCCTGGTGTGTGGTGAAGTGTTTACAGAGCGTTAAGGGGCATGTGAATGTTTCAGTGTGTCGGTAGGCCAGTGCTAACGTGTGTGTGTGTGTGTTTCAGTGTGGCATGTAAGGCCGACTGCTGGTGTGTTACGCGTCTCACATATGTGGGATTCTCTGGCTGTCGTGTTGAACTGTGACACCGGACTCCAGCACTGAGATCCAGTTATAGACACACAACCCAATATAAGCCTGCATAGGAAGCGCTGCGAGTGTGTGTGTGTGTGTGTAAGTGTAATAGAGGAGCGGGTGACTGACATCAGCATGTGAAGGTCACGTGTGTTTGTCAAATGCTAAACGTCATACGTGGGCCGTCGTAAGATACTCCGAATGCTTTCCGAGCAGTTCAACATTACATAATAAAAGTCATATATAAATGTATTCAATCCTTATGGAGATCTCCACCCTAAAGATGAAGCTCAGACACACTCTCGGACGATTTAACCAACTTGCAAGGGCCAAAATAAGAGAAAAGCACTGTTGTTTACTCATTACCTTGATTATTTATAATAATAATTAACATTTTATCTTGAAATGTCAACCAAAAGAGCAAGAGCATTGACTTTCCTTCTCAGCTAATGTCACCAATCCCTCTTGTTTTTCATCAGTCATATCCACCTTATTCCTGACAAGTTTACTGCGTTTTGAATTATGGGTGGCACTGGCACTTCCGGTTTGGGGAACTTCCATTCAAAAAGGATGAAAACGAATAATTTCAAATCATCAGATTGCCCTACAAATAAAGCTGATTTATTTTGAGAATAACATTATAGCCTACTTGGTATTTTAACATGACATGTTATAACAGGAATATCTACGGCAAGAGCTCTTTTCAGTCGCTGCTTTCTTTTCCTCATTATTATTTTCTTTTTTCCCTTTGTAATCCGCTGTTAAAGTATGAAAAAGGACAACATTTGTGGTCTGTTCTCCCGAACTATTAAAATCCCCAAAGAATCGTCTCTTTCCAAGTTTGTTTTCACTGTTAAATGTAATGTATAACCTGTCAAAATGACGGAAATCACTTTGAAATAGTATCACGTAATGCTGAAGTTAATAAACATTTTTGATCAAGACAACATAAGTTAAATAATACAGATATATATTAGTCTACTACTGTGATATTTAACCAAAGACTGGCGCTTTTAGGGTTATTTGGTCTGTTGAAAGTAGACCTTGTTGATGCTTTTACACTTTTAAATGTTCTTTTAATGTTCGATGGTTGAAGGGTGAGTCGATTAATGTCATCTCATTGTGACACTTTTTTAACGCATTGCGTTCATAGAGCGAGTCTTTCACTGATTGTTTACAGCTTAACGGAAGTTACACCCATAATTCGTAGGAATAATGTGGATAGAGAGAGACATTATTTTATCGGATCAACTTCTCACGGGTTTAATTGTGTTTCCGCATTGAAAATCCTGTTAAATTGTCTAAAATGGTGAAAATTTTGCAATTACATTTTATGGTTATTGTTATGTTACTCATCTTCAGTACAAAATATTATTTTTTTCATTAATAGTGCATTTTATTAGATATTTTGTTTCATATGCTCTCTGACAAGTCAGCTTTCCTATTATTATTATTTTTAAATAAATGTATTTGTTTAATCTTATATTAGATGTTTCCGTCTGCCACCGAACATCATAGAATCTCACAAGAGATTTTTGCTTTGTGATGTTATATTTATGACAATTAAACATGTTTCCCCCAAATTATCATTACTGTAATGCATTCAGACAGTGGACTTTTAATATGCTTTTAATACTCAATGGTGGGATTTCTCATTCCCATTAGATTCGAATTATTGTAATACAGAAATTTATACCATATTAAGATGATTTTTTTAATTTTTAAATCAGAATAAATTAAATGTAGTACAACTTATACAATTATGTATATATATATTTTTTGCATTATGGTACCCCCCCCCCCCCCCCCCCCCCCTCCCCTCAAATAATTTATATAAAATAATTAAAATAAAAGTCATTTGACTTCGAGGAAGAACATTTCTCAATAAAATAATGGATAACACTTTACAGTAATGTTCATTAGTTAAGATTAGTTCATGTATTAACTAACAATACATGTGTTACTGTATTTATTAATCTTTGTTAATGTTAGTTAATAAAAATACAGCTGTTCATTGTTTGTTCATGTTAGTTCCCAGTGCATTAACTAATGTTAACAAATACAACCTTTGATTTTAATATTAACTAAGATTAATTAATGCTGTAGAAGTATTGTTCATTCTTAGTTTATGTTAAATAAGGTAGTTAAACTAATGAACCTTATTGTAATGTCTTTTGTTGCCAAACATTAATATTAGTTTGTCTTGATTTCTTTTTGATTGCGTGTGTGTGTGCAGGACGTGCAGCGGGTCATAACTCTCAGTGACGGAGTGATTAAAGGAGGAGTGCAGCGCGAGACGGAGCCGGCGAGTGAGGTGGGATGGATGACCTCTGTGAAGGACTGGGCCGGGGTCATGATCTCTGCTCAGACACTCACGGGACGCGTGCTGGTGAGTCCTCTTCAGTCTCGCTCAGTCTGGCATATCGTCCAGCTCACACATTGCAGATTTATGAATTATAGAAAATCAACTGGATTTTCAACCAGAGCGAAAGTTAGGGTGTATTCACACCAGGAAAGTCCGATAGTTCACTTGCTTTGGTCCGGACCAAATAAGTTTTTGTTTTTGTTTTTTTTGGTACGGTTCGCTTTCACACTGCTCTTTTTGCAAGTGAACCAAAATGTGTAAACAAAACCACACGTGTGCTAAGGTCGTCCATTCATTGGACAAGGATTCTCAAGTAGGGAAATCAGGAAGTGCAAAAAAGGCTCAGCATGGAGATATTTCGTACTGCAATATTTGTTCTTTTACTAATTTTGTGTTATTCTGTACAAACGCAATATGAAGAAAATGTTAATAAGGCAGCTCGTCTCTTCGAAGCTCCAGGTCAAACCACGACTCATTTTATCAAATGTAGTAGGCTACAACAGATCACTTTCCCATAACGCAACTCCGACTACGGAAGCCTGTTAACTCAAAGGTGCAGTGCTTTCTTGCAGTTGGGTCGGTTCATGTTCACACCGTAAACGAACCGTACCAGAGTTTGTTTGGAACCGGACCGAGACCACCTCTTCAGCTGGGTCTGGGTTCGGTTGTTTGGTCCGCACCCGAGTTCGATTGCTGTATTCACACCAGCCCAAAAGGTCCGCACCAAGGGGGGAAACGAACTAGAGTTCGATTCAATCGAACCAAACAAGGCAGGTGTGAATACACCCTTAGTCAATGACAGATTGAACTAGAATATTTCTGGTATATATCATAGACTGTAAAAAGAAATGGGCAAAGTGTCTGCGACGTCACCCATAGACTTTCTGAAGTACGGTTTTGAGGCCGTTTATGGGGGGTATGGGCGGCGCCATCTTTTGAAAATCTTGGGAAATCCTAACCCCGCCCACTGTCTGGCCAATCCATATATGGGTAAAAGGGCGGGCTTTGCGTGAGACTGAGCCGTGCGCCTCTTCAGCCGAGCCGCCTCAGCTGTAGCGTTACAAGATCGACTGGCAGACTAGGCTACTTTTTACTACGTGAAATAGTAGTGGAATGTCACTTACCGGAAAAAATGGAGCGAAGTCCTCCTACAGTGTCGGTTAGTGCAGTTTATAGCAGAGCAACCCATTTTATGTACGATATTTCAATACAAATGTTCAGAAAGGATACAGAGGTGGTATGATGTGTTGTGTCAGATGATCATGGTCGAGACGTCAAATTTCAGGAATTCCACTCGACTCAGCCCGTTATCAATCAAGCTGTCAATCAAAGTTAACCACGCCCTTATTTGTCATACATTTTATATCTGAATACGATCTAAACTAACGAGTTAGAAAAAAATTCACCCCCCTCACAGTTGTCAGGCACTCGGAACCAATCGAAAAATACAATAAAAGTCCATGGGACCAACCTGTAAAAACATGAATTTATGCTGTGAAAACGGACATTTTAACATGCGGTCTATGGAGATTTGCTCCCTTCCTAGCGGATTTTCGATGTATTGCATTTTTTCGCACTACCGGGTAGGCTTCATTTTTCAGATTAGAATGTTGCCGCTTGGCAGTGACGTGCGGTGATGTCTTAAAGAGGCTAGGCACTGAGTTATGAAAGCCAGATTACCTGATTTATTGTTAAGGCTAATAATACATAATTAAAAGTAAACGTTACGCACAAACGCAGCATAACAAGAAATGTACAAATCATGATGTATATCGTGTACTCTCGCAGTCTCTCTCTCTCTCTCTCTCTCTCTCTCTCTCTCTCTCTCTCTCTCTCTCTCTCTCTCTCTCTTGCACACACACACACACACACACCACACACACATACACAGGCAAACACCGGTAGTTAATGTCCACTCCAGCATCAGAATGCAACCATTCTTAATCCTTAATTGTTGCACAGCGGCCAATTATGTCTGTCAGCAAAAGTAAAATCACACACTGCTCAATTGAATATGAAGGCAAATGGCTTGCATTAATTCAACCACATTTATCAATTCAATATTAAGCCCAAAATAGTTTTTGACTCACCAATCGGTAGATTATTTGTACGTAAAATCCATCCGCCGCTGTTTCCTCGTAAAGACGTCGATCACAACTTTGTAAAACTCGTCTTTACGGCCTTCAGTTGCTGCACTAGTCCATCTAAGGCTGGCGTAGACCTCCCTCTTGCTGTTAACTCAGATTTTGAATTAAATTCGAGCTTGAAAAAATGTCTTACTCTGTGATCACGGCCGGTGCTGTCATTTTGACTTTGAATTTGGCGTGGATTAGGCATAGGCTAGCTGTGGTGTAATGACCTTAGCTACGCAAATATCTCGATTTTAATTGGTCCATGTCTGATATGTAACGTAGATGGGTACGGGCATAGCATATTTACGCCCAAAGGCACAGCAGAGTTGTGCCTTTGGCAGGATCGAAGTGCGCATGCGCAACAGGGGTTTTTCGCTTGTTGTACCATTTGTTTTTTATTTGATTATGCGTAACTGCTACATTTGTCATCGTAACGTCTAAACAATTGGAATAACACCCATATTGCATATATAAATCACATGAATAAACAGTAAAAATACAAGTTTATTATTTAATAAACATTTTTTTAATTTGGGCAGGGTAGGCAGTGCCTAGTTTGCCTACCCAGACCGCACTGCCGCTTGGTATATATTCTTCACCCCTCTATTAACTTATAGTGTAAGAAAAAATTATGCGGACGTCGAAGATCTCAAAAATTTAGTTTTTAAATGAAGTTTATTACAGCATAGCAGTGGACAGGGTTCACCGGCATCAGAATGAACCCAGAACATCCAAATCTCAAACCTTTTATCCTGGTCTTAATGTAATTAAAGTTGCTCTGGTTGCAACAAGGGCTGGGTATTGACACAAATTTCACAATTCGATTCGATTTCGATTCACAAGCTTGCAATTGATTCGATTCCGATTCAATATTGATTATTTCGGATATCAGGTACAATACATGGCAAATTTTCTCAAGGAAAACAAATCTCTTAGCTAATGCTGTAAACTATGAGAGTCAGTTGTAGCCTACTAGGCTTCATTAGCCTACTATTATATTGAAGGTAAAATTACTGATTTGTAGCTATACAAACACTTAAATTACACTTTTATTTATTTTTATAATAATACATTTATATGAAATATAAACATTTAAATGGTGGCTGTCATAAAAAACTTGCCAGATTATTCAAACATGCATTAAATATCGAAGAACATTACAAATTATAATGAATATGTAATATGGTGCATATATTTAACAAAATGCTCCTCTTTAGAGTTCATTTTTCTAGCTGACTAACGAGTTTATGGTCACATATGGTTTTTCTGAGGTAAATGTGACGTTACATGACATTGTTTACAAGTTGTTTTACTGACGTCTTTCACGGTTGAAACACTGATTGAGCGATTCCATGTGACATGATACGGATTTCGATAAGTTGTACTCTGTCTTTTAACACACTTTCAGACGCTCATTCATGTTTATTTCGCGCTGTAACTGGTATTATTAAGGCGGAAGAGAAGATCATGTGCGCTCCGCTTCTCTTGAGCTGCGCCAGAGCGATCTCACGCCACAGCGCCAAAACGGTATTTATGTTTTTGAATTTCGTAAGAAAATGAACGTAATTTGAAATTTGAGACTTTATTTAGTATCAATAGTAACAAAGCACAAAGATTATTGCGATTTATTGGATGCGATGTTCCATTCATTCATGAAATGAAAACAGGATGACTAATCGATTCTTGAGATTTAAGAATCGATATCTGTTCGTAAAAATGAGAATCGATTAATATCGAGAAATCGATATTTTTTTTACCCAGCCCTATGCTAATGAAGTTGAGACACCACTGTCTGAGATTCCATTCTACAATTGATGAGGACCATTTGCTCATGATGTGATCAACCCAAATGGTGAAGAAACAATATAACTTCACTTCCTTCATCTCTATGATAAGTAAGCCATTTTGGGGATGAGCTTATTCTAAAATATACTTTGGAGTGGAATCTGGGTCGAGGCAGACTACAATTTCTAACAATAGTGACAAAAGATGACCAATTAAATATATATATATATATAATTTAAAATAACATATACATCAATAGCATAAAAAAACATGTGTACACATTCACATGCGTTGCTACATAAAATATACAATTACAAAAAATATTTATTCTCTCTCTGTCATATTGTCAAGCTCACACATTTCAGATTGTGTAAATAAAATTTTTAATAATTTTGCATTTATATTTGATTATTTGAAAAAAAGTATTATTTTTTTGTAATTGTGTAATTTTTTAATGTGTCTGTATAGATGTGTATGTGTGTAAATGTTAGTGTACACACGTCTTTTATGCTATCGAGGTATAAGTCTCTCTTTCTCTGTCATATTGTCAAGCTCAAACATTTCAGCTTTATGAATTATGAACCAACATGACAAGAAAATCAACAGGGTTTTCACACAGGGCAAAAGTCAATGACAGATTGAGCTGGGATATTTCTGAGACTCGCCCCTATATTTGAGTTTGCTTTATTGAATGAAATAAGGTTAAATAAATTATATAATTAGAATCATGTTTCTGTTACGACACTCTAGATCTGAAATCTTTTGGCTTTTGGTCCTTTTAAAAGTTTTTTTTTTTTTGCAAGAATTTTTCTACTATTATAACGTCTCTCCTTGTTGAACTTTGACTTATTTAATAATAATAACAATAATTCTTATTCTTATTATTTTATAGCCATATTAATATATAATCCCATAATATAATCCCAAATTGTGCAGCCCCACAAAGGAACATGGATTTTTATTTTAAATCACATTTTAAATAGCAGTTTTTGTCCTAAGATTGCAGCTGTGTTTCCCCCGGATCGCCCAGCGCTGTGATTGGGCCGTGGAGTGATCATCAGATGTCCCTCACGCACAGATGTTGGGCTTCGCTGAGGCTTCGCGAGG